AACTATCTAATAAGCAAATTTAGATTATGGAAAAAAGTTACATAAAATGTCTTAAGACTGGCTGAATTAAGACTTAGGTATACTGAGCAAAAATGAATACAGAAGAGATCATTCAAGGAGAAGAAGAAAACAGTAATTCAGCTAGTACAATAAAAACAAACTAACACAGATTTCTTACACCTGGAAAAAAAGTGAAAACACTTCAGATAAAAATTAGAAGTTTCTAAGGCATTTTCACCCTTTTGGGGGAAAACTATCACAATCCCACAAATTTCACTTGGTCAGGTTTGTCTTGTTCACAAAACAAAAAGTGACTCTTAGGCATGAAAAAACAAAGTGCAACCCTCAGGCTTCCTTGGTTTGCATGTTGTTATATAAATCAACCAATAGAGATAAAAAAAAAAGAACAGACAAGATATGATATTAAAGTAATGAAATAAAATAAAATAAATGTATGATCACAAGTGTTAACTTATGGAAGTAAGAGCTGAGTTTTGTTCCCTTGAAGAAAATTTGGGACAGGAGTGGATAATCATTAGAAAAATATGTAGGATGCTGTTATCTATAGTCCCAGCTACTCAGGAGGCTGAAGAAGGAAGGATTGCTTGAGCTGGGAAGTTTGAGAGTACAGTGTGCTATGACCATGCCAATGAATAGCCACAGTACTCCAGCCTAGACAACATAGCAAGACCCCATCTCTGAAAAAAAAGAAAGAAAACGAAAAATATGTGGAAACAAGCAGGAGTATTAGCAAAATGTCCAGAGGTAGCAAGCCTAAAATGTACACTGCACTTAGGATCGGTAAAGTATTTAACATGTTTTCCAATAAGCATATTGCTAGTTTTGTTTTACTTCTACAGAGAATATAACAATGGATTTGTGAATTTTTTATAAGTTAGGTTATGACAAATAGAATTGGAAAGTGATGTGAAACACAGATGGTAGCGTGGACTGCAGTGGTGAGTTCATTGTGCATACCAAGCCACAAAATGGGAGCATCTGTGGTATTTAATTTAGAAAAGAGGAATAAGATGCTGCAGTTGTTAAATTATCAGAATGGGAATCTTGGTTAGTTCTTCAGGCAGAGCCTCATAGGGTTGGGTCAAAGAGATCCGAAGTCTAAAACTCATCTATGCTCCTTAAACTCAGAGAATGGCTGTTCTGATCATCTTCACTAATTGCTGACATATTAATTTCAATAAGTAGAACTTTCAAGTTAGCCAGATACTTGGAGGAGACTGAACAGTTTCATATCAAAAATTGACAATGAGCAGCAAAGTGAATATCTGAAAGTTTGCTGTTTAAGGAGTTGGGTGATTTCAATGGTTAATGCCTAAAGTGATTATAATTCTGATACTGGCTGGGTGGTGGCACACTTAAGTCGACATTACAGGACATAACAGGACAAAGCTGTTATTTCTCTATTTTATTTTTTAAATTTTCTTTTTTCCTCAGCCTACCTTGACTAAGATATATCTCTATTTTAAAAATTTATTTATGACAGCAATAAATGAAAGTCTACTGTTAACAGTCTAGTTTTCTAAAAGGTATTCAATTTACCTTACCTTTACCTCTTCAATAAAATCTAGAAAGGTAGTTCTTTCTAGGTAGTGGATTGGTAATATATTGATAGCATGAAGCTTTACTCCAAGCTTATTGACCATACCATCTTTTACTTTGCTAAACGATCACAGTTTTATCAGTATTACTTATAAGCATGTTCACTTCCACTGTTATGTTACTATTGATATTATGTCCTTTATTAGTGGAAAAAGTCACAAAATACCACAAAGAGTCCTAACACTTAGGGTGTGGAGATCAAGCCTTGGGAAAAGATCTTATGAATATCTGCTAAAGAGTAATTTGACATCCTTGGGGTGGAAGTTTATTGAATCACTCCCTAACTTGAACCATCAAGTGCCAAGGGTCAGCAAATATCACTCTTAACTTCCAGTTGGAAATCTAGATACTTGAAGGACTTATAATTTGATTCTTTGAGTGTGTTACTATGATTAGGTGCTTAATAATTTCTGATTAATGAATGAGAGGGGTGATATACTCCTCTCTTAAGGGGTTGAAATAGCTAAAAGGCTTGGTCAAAAATTAAATATAATTTCTATTTTATGATAGGTATCATAAAGATTTTTTAAAACCTTTTTTCACATATTATAAAGTTAACACAGATGCTCAGTGAGTGCAACAAATATTTAGTGTTCTTTTTGGTGTTTAGAGACTATGAAATCTTTGCACTATTATTGCCTTTCTCCACCCCTTCTCCCCACTTCTGCTATTTAACTTCTGGAGTTCCTTGATCTGCATAAACCTTTTATCAATTTAATCCAAGGCACTTTTCAATTCTATGGTATTCTGGTAACAGTTATCTTTTTCTGAAAACTTTTAGACACAAACACATAAATACGTGAATAAGATTGCCAGTGTACTATTAATTTGAAGTGAAGGGGATCTGAGACCTGCCTGTCCATTATTCAGATTGTAGTAACCCTTGGATGAATTACTTATTTCTGAACTTCGTTGCTTTATTTATATAATGCAATAATTTACACCACTGAGTTGTAGAAAAGTTTACAGGATTAAAGAGATGATACATAATTCTATGGTTAGTACAGTACTCTGCACACTTAATAAATACCCCTACCCTCCTTTCTTGGAAGCCAGGTAAGCCATCAGAAGTTGATTTAGGCACAAAGTAAAAAACGGTGAGACCCCTGAATGATAATTCGTGTCTGCTCTGGCAAAGCCTCAATTGTTGGTCCCTCAAACCTTTTTGCTTAAGTTTATTCCTAGCAGCTAGATCAGGTATCTTTCTCTCGTGGTCCTGCTGAATAAATAGCTCTGTTGTCGCGCCTTTCTCTAAACTCTTTATGTCGGAAGAGACAGGCAGACCACGTATCTCTTCAGACATGTTTACACATAGCTTTATTTACTAACGTCCAGTCCTGGGCGGCCACCTGCTCTTTCTGCACTCATTTCTCGAACATCCGCGGCCTTGCCTGGACAGATCCTCCTAGTTGAGATTCATCTCCTCCAAACGAAAACTGTCCCACTGTGGCCCTTCATCTGTCCACCAGGGCTGTTGTCGGCTGCCAGTCGCAGTCTGTGTACTGCAGGCTGTGTCTCAGCTGTCCTTATAGTTCGGGGCTCCCAACTGGAGCCCAGCAAAACTTGTACCTCAGCTTTCCAGGCTTGTACAGCCCCCAAGAAAATAGTGCACAGAAAAGCCTTGCACTCCTTCGTGGATTAGACCAATCAGGAAGAATCGCTGGCCTAGAAAAGTTTTATGTTTGGCTTGGTCAAATAACCGTCCGGCAAAACGAGGACTTTTCGCGCCCCATAGCCTAGCGGCCCATGTGGCGGAGCCGGTCTAGTTGGCTGCCCAGTGCCAGGCGACTGCGACCGCGACGGCTGCGGCGGATCTGGGCCCGCCCGGAAGTGCCCGGCGCTGGAGGGAGGGAGAGGCTGGCGAGCCGCCGCGGCGCGCACGCGCCCTCGCGCGCTGGGCTGGGGCTGGAGCCGTAACTCGGAAGCCGGAGCCCGGACGGGCCTGGGGCGGGGGGGTGGGGGGCTGCGCGGGGGCGGGCGTGGTGGAGGTGGCCGCCCCTGGCGGCAGGTTTGTTTATCCCGGGGAAGAAGTTTAGGAGCCGGAGACAGGGAAGGAGGGCGGCCGGGGAGGAGGGATGCGGTTCGGCGGAGGCGGCCGCCACAGACTCGCCGCCATCAGCCCCACCGCCACAGCCTTGGGCTCCCGGGGCCGCTGCCTCAGCCTCCCAGGAGCCGCCGCCCGACTGCCCGCTGCCGCCCCGGACGTCCGGGTAGGTGTTCCTTCCCCTCCGGGGGTCCCAGTTGCAGTCCTGGTCGGTCGGAATTCACCCATCCGGCTCACCAGGGCCTGGCGGCCTCGTCCTTCCCCTGTCACGCGCCCTCTCCCCTCCCAGTCCCGGCTCCTGCGGCGCGCGTTCGGCCTGCTCGGGCTGCTTCCCCGCCCCCCGGACTCCCCGGCCCGCGCACGGCGTCTTTGCTTTCCTTGGAGATGCCCCCCGTTCCTCCGTAATTTCCCAGCCGCCGCCTGCCCGGATCCCGCTTAGTTTGCTCCACAGGCCTCTCGCTGTTGCTGGGCTCCCCCTATTTATAACCGTGCGCCTTCTCGCCTCCCTATCTCCTCATCCCCAATACATTCCAAACTGCCGTCTCGGTCAGACCATTTAGGGTGAGTTCTCCGTCCCCTAGACCCCCCAGGGCCTGCGGAGGCCACAGTGGGCATGCCCTCGGCCTCCCGCTCTCCGGCTCACACTTGGCTTGTCAGACGTCCTAGCTCCAACTTAACCCGCGTACCTCAAGCTAAGCTTGCGGTGCAGGATCCAAGTCTTGAAAGATCTCTTTTCCACGCTCTGCTCCTATCCTTTTTCCTAATCTGCCTCTTCTTGACTATGTGTATTTGTGTTCTCACACAAAGGAAAAATAATGGTAGGATTTTGTCTTTCACGGCAATCATAGAGCCCAGTACAAGTAAAATTTACCTTCTGTTTATCCTAACTTTGCGCCTCTTTATCGTCCATGACTGAATACTGGCCTTTAGCCATCCTTTCCAGGCTTCTGATGTTTTGTCTATATTTGAATAATCCTGGGTCTACTTTAGCCCATTATATCGCTTGTCTTCCTACCTCTTTCGTAATTGAATCCACTCTTCCTTGGACTGGAAGTTGAAGTAGTAAAAGGTTCATACCTTGGAAAATTACATCTCTCCTGACGTAATGGAAGTGGTGGAATATTTCAGAATAGTCCATCATTCTTGAGAAAAATGTTGCCTAGTGGTTAAGAGCTTATGCTAGTGGAACTGCCAAACCTTTGCCCTACCACCTACCAGGTCTACCTTTGGACAAGTTATTTAACCTCTGGGCCCCAGTATGGGGCAGCTCTGACAGCTGCAAAATGAGGATAATGATAAACTTTAAAGAATGGTGGTGATGATTACACAAGTACTCAGAACAGGGGCACATACATGATTTTGTCTTTCTCATTACTTCTTTGCTTGACTTCTTTTGGCTATTGATAAAGGTTAATTTAGAGAGAGAGAAAAGTGGGAATGGAAAACTGCCTCTTCCTCTTCTTTATGTAACATCCGTTTGATGTCATAGTTTTTGTATTTTGTTATTGTACAAATTAATTCCATCTAATTTGAAAAAAAGGTTTTTAACTATTTTTAAGTATATTACCAAGCTACAGATAGGTCAGTCAGTATTTCACATATTGATTTAAAATTCCTAAAAATGTTACCTTTGTTTTGAGAATAAGTGAATTTGAAGTATTATATGTATAGTTTTATCATAGTGGAAAATGAGACTTGAGAATTTTAGTAGTGCAAGTTAAATACTCAAAACTGTTGATATTCTTTATACTCATCAAACTACTGAAGATTGGGCTTTGGCTTCATTCAGAAGACTGGTAGCTTTTCCTCTTGACCTGTTATGCTCATTCGTATTCACATGCCTTTGCTTGGTCAATTTTTGCCTTTGCCAAAATTTGCTCACTTTCTAAAACCATGATAGTTTTTGCCATATTTGCTTACCTCTTATGTACTACTGTTTACTCAATACATTTTTATTTTTTTCATAGACATTGCATCTTTTGAAATAATACATTTTTAAATGGCTTGTTTTAAGAAACCTAAATAGGTATTACCTTACTGTTGTTATAAATAGTATAAATTTGAAATCATTATTTGCTGGCCTAATTACAGCTAAGAATACATACATGTAGATACATAACAACCAAAATAAAAATATTTTCCCCAGGCGGCACCTGTGGCTCAGTGAGTAGGGCGCCAGCCCCGTATAGCAAGGGTGGCAGGTTCAAACCTGGCCCTGCCAAACTGCAGCAAAAAAATAGCCAGGCCTGGTAGTGGGCACCTGTAGTCTCAGCTACTCAAGAGGCTGAGGCAAGAGAATTGCCTGGAGGTTGCTGTGAACTGTGATGCCACAGCACCTACTGAGACTGTCTCTAAAAAAAAGAAAGAAAAATAAATATTTTCCCATCTCTAGTCAAAAATTATTCTTCATGTCCCCGGTGTAGCATATTACATACAGTGGGTGCCACTGCCTTTGCTAATGCTGTTTACTGACCTAGAATAACCTTTGCTCTTTCTCACCTGTAATACTTCCACAAAGTTCATTCCAACATTGGTTTCTTTGTTTCTTGGCTTTCTTAAGTGTCGTAATTCTGCATTTTTGGCCTTGAATAGTATAGGCAGTGAGGGTTGAAGAGAAATGACTCCTCCAGAATCAGACTTTTAAAGCTTGTAAACACTTTGAAGAGGGTGGGATAAAATTGGCATTTAGTGTCTATTCTGTATGTGGCAGTATTCTTTTGGTTTTGTAAATATGGATTATTTCCAAAAATATTTAATTAGCACCTGTCACATGCCAGGCATTGGGGGATACATATGTGAAAATGTCCCTTCTCAAACATAGTTGCAGTGAAAATCAAGCTCTAATGCTAAGGCATCTAAGATATGCCATGAATTACCTCATCTGTGCACTTAAAGTGGTACTAGTTAGAAACCATTCTTGAAGGAACTAAGAAGTAGTTGCTTAAATCAGTTTTCTTAGGGCTTAATTCCTGCAGAGCCCTACTTAAGGAAAGCTATATTGGAATAATAATAATGCAGTATCTGCTTTCTTATAATTTATATTCTAGTTTGGCACTGACAATTTAGATATATTAACTGACTTAAATTCCATAATAATTCTAAAAAGGCTTTATTTTCTTCATTTTACAAATGAGGAACCTGAGAAACAGACTAAACTTCCATAAAATTCCACAGTTACAAGTTTTGCAGCCAGACAATGTAGTCTTTTTGTTATTATCTGAGACTACACTTTCTTGCTGATAAGGTAGGATTCTTCATCTTTCTAAAAGTGTTATTTATTTATTTTAAAAAATTTAGGCTCAGCAGTGGAGTTTCCCTGTCTTTTTAGGTTGTGTAGTAGAATAACTTGGGAGACTTAAGTTTTACAAAGCACTTGGTCTACAGTCTTATGTCAAGCCTTATATATGACCTGATATTGAAGGCATTTGCATTTGATGGTATTGTTCACTGTTCTGTTTCCTGACTTGGATTTGCTCACTTAGCAGAAATTTATTGAGTAATTCATCTGAACTAGGCACTAGGCTCTGGTGACATATTTAGGGAAAAGGGTGCTTGTATTCATGGAGGCAAAAGTCTGGGGAATAAAGAAATGAAAAAGAATTATAAAAATAATAGTTATGATAACTGCTACAAAGGAAAATTATTGTAAATGGTGAAAGCCCACTAATGAAGAAATGTCCCGAAACCTAAAAGATGAACTGTACTTACCTAGCTGCTGTTGGCAGTTTCAACTTTTCTAGAATTGTAAGATCCAGCTCTTATTGGACCTTAACACATGAGGTTGGTTGATGGGAAATAGACTGGAGCAGATCACTGTGGCCAAAATTCATGCTAAACATTTTATACTTAATCTTAAAAGCAATAGAAAGCCACCAGAGAATGTTAAACTGCTGAATAAATTACTCAGATTTTTGCTTTAAAAATATCTCCTGGTTGTTCTGTCCAGGACAGTTTGGAGAGAGGCACCTGTAAATACAGGGAGAGCAGCTAGGCCAGTGCTTCTTAATCTTATCTGTGGTGAAGGACCAATGTTTTAGTTTGTTTTAAATTTTCAATTCATACTACTACTCTAGTAATTCACAATAAAATGGATATATTGTGGCAGTGTCAAGTTGCTATAAAAGTTTGTAAATGCTTCCTCTCAGTTTTTATATTTACTTCATCTCGGACCAGTAACAAAAGATTGTGGACCAATATTAGTTCACAGATCATGATTGAGTAGAATAAGTTAGGCTACTGAAGTAATTTAGGCAGAAGATTGTAGAAGCTTGATTCAGAGTGATAGAAATATAGATAAAGTAGCCTGATTTGACAGGTAAAATTGGTAGAATTTGGGGATGGGTAGGATTTGGGAGCCTAGGAAGAGAAGAAGGCTGATTTCCAGGCTAATAGTTCTTAAGCCTATCTTAGGGAATATTGGGAAAGGAACAGTTTTTTGTTTGGTAGTTCCAGGGAAGGGAAAGTATTAATCATAATTCAGCTTGAGACTTATGCTTGAAAGGGAGATACGTGGGTCATTATGAAAGTTTTGAGATAGACAAAGATCAAGAATTGTAAAATCCACATGGATGGAAAGAAATGAAGCCTGTCCAGCAACAACAATAACGTGAGCAAATTGAAACTTGGAAAGGTGAATCAGAAAGGATGCTGTCAACTGTGTTTCTTGGAAGTAAAGTAATGGAGCATAAGAATAGTTGCCCCAAAACTTTTAGTGACCTCTGTATACAAGTGAAGATGTCTCATAGGAATTAGATATATAGGTCTGAAGCTCAGCAAATAGGTTTGGTCTGAAGATAAATTTGGAAATAGCATAGAGTTTATATGTGTAATTGATGTCTTGGGGTAGAGGCTGAGTTTGCCTAAGGAGAGTGTATAGAAAGAAGATAGGGGTTTAGGACTAAGTCCCATGAATCTTTAGCATTTAAACATAGGGAAAAATAAAGGGAGCAAGACAGTCTAAGAAGGGGTATCTAGAAGTTGGAGGAAATTTTCATTAGTATCACTAAAGCCTAGGAAATTATCTCTTTGAAAAAGTGGGGAGTGGTCAGTTGACAGTTTTGAATGCAGAAATCAATTAAGTGGAAAACTAAAAAGTACACATTGGGTTTAGCAACATATAGAAAATTTAATACTATTTCTTAGTAGTCAGTGCACCCAAAAACTATT